TTCGTGGCCAACGTATCCATCGGTGGCCACAAAGCCAGTGATTGTCGCCTTAATTGCGGTTATATTTAGTCCGTAATTATATTTGGGTTTTAGTTGTCTTTCATTACAAATATGGCTTTCTATCGATCAACTAATAAACACAACTCATTCACAACGTTACACCTGTTTGGCGAACCCTGTGTCAAAATATTTGGTACCTTTTGTTGTCTATACTTTACGCGTATGTTTATGTAAAAGGCCCACTTGTTCGGTGAAAATATGTTTTTATTTTTTTTGTTTTACAATCAAAACCGTTACTGTTGTACAAAGCAAAATGTGCTCGATAAAAGTATTTATTTTAATGATATGTTTATTATTTTGTTTAATATCAGATTTAACTAAATAATTATAAATAGTCTGATATATAATTAATACCAAGGCTACATTTATAATAGTGAATTTGTATGGCGTGGGAACTGTATTCAATTATAGAAAACAAATACATTAAATAACTCCTCTAATGAATAACAGTTTCTGTGAATAACAATCAATGCTTTAGAACTTTTATTGAAACTTTAAAAGTTTTTCCCCAATCACCCTGGTCAATAATCACTTAATCAATTGAATTTTATTCACATTTAGTTCATTTGCATTTATAGTACAATTAATGTATACAAAATAATATTCAAAATAGTATTTACATATTATTTTTATTACTTATTTGATTATTATTAGAGAAAAAAGTATTCATTTGACTTATGAATTAGAAGTTTGAGATAATTTATTATTGAAAAACTTAATCAAAATGAGTTTTAAAATTATGTTAATTTAAGACACCAGAGACTAACTACAGTAGACCCACTTGAAACCACGGATTAGAGACAGGGTTAGCGCACTAATAGGGACCATAGGATGGACTGATTTGTTGCTCTCAAACACTGACACTAAAGTCGATGATCTGAAGAACTCATTGCAAACATTATGTAGTTTATTGTGTTTTATCACAATTTTTGTGTCAAATTTCAGGAAATTTTTCAATTAATTTTTAGTGAATAAAATTATTAAAAAGTGGACACAATTTAAATTTTACATATTTATAGTTTTAATACAATTATTCTGTAGACTTTAGATTAATAGAAAGTTAATAAAAGTTTGTAATTGTGGTTATAATTGAGTAAAGATATACAAGAATTTTAATAAAATAGTTTTTATAAAAGTCCTCTAGGTGCTCTAAATTCAAATCCTGTCACTTTTAAACACCAAATTCATATCCTGAGAGTTCAATATTTGTAACATTTTATATAAAAAATTAACAAAAAACCTTAAAATCACAAACCGATAAAAATGTTGATGAAAATAGTTGTGTAAACAAATTAAATACAGAAATAAAGTAAAAATATATCTTTAAACCAAATCTCTAATGAATTTAAGCGACTATTTTGTGGACAATGAGGACGACATTGTCATCAGTGGAATATCGGGACGCTTTCCAGAGTCGGACACAATCGACGAATTGAGAGACAATTTGTTTGCCAACAAAGATCTCGTCACTGAAGATGAGCGGCGATGGCCGCGGGGTTTGTATGGATTGCCGACGCGAAGCGGAAAATTGAAATCGTTGAACAAATTTGACGCCCAGTTCTTTGGTTTAAGTGGTAAACAGGCCGACCATATGGACCCGCAGGGAAGGCTGTTATTGGAGGTCACACACGAGGCTATTGTGGACTCAGGTCTGCCCCGAAAACGATTGCTTTTTAAACCGAAACGAATATCATTTTGTCAATTGTTTTAATATTTGCAATGATTTTACCGCTGATTGAAGGCTACAATCCGGGAGCACTTCGGGGCACAAACACCGGAGTATTTATCGGCGCCTCCCTCGCAGAGACCGGTGAGAGTCTGACGAGTGATCCGACAAAGATTTCTGGTCAGGACTTCATAGGAACCAAACGCCATATGCTGTCCAATCGAGTGTCCTATACCTTTGACCTGAGGGGACCCTCTGTGTCTGTGGACAGCTCCTGTAGCTCATCGCTAGTGGCCCTGCAGTTGGCCTACTCTGGAATGCGGGCCAATGAGTTTGAAATGGCGATTGTGGNCCGGTCACAGAAAACATGGTCTTCGAGGACAGTGTGGTTGCCGTCAACTCGTTTGGTTTTGGCGGCACTAATGTTCAGGTTTTACTGCGACCGAACCACAAATCGACTGCAAATGCTGTTCACGTATACGGCGGACAGCAATACAACTTTGAAATGCCACGACTTGTTTTGGTTAACGGAAGGACTCGAGAGAGCGTTGACTTTGTTTTGAATTTCATTCGCGACCACAAAGACAGGGTTTCCGACGACTTTCTCACGCTTCTCAATGACGTCACCGCTGGTCACGAGTCCAATGCCAGCGGTTTCAAAGGCTATGCCATCCGCGATGTGTCCATCAATGGCTTCGTGGAAAAGGAGAGAAATGTCACGAAATCAGACGTTCGGCGTCCACTTTGGTTCATATTATCGGGTATTTTGTAAAACGAAACAATAATTCACACAATTTATGCATAACTTTGTGTTAGGAATGGGAACTCAATGGACAGGAATGGCCAAAGGATTGATGGGAATTGAGATCTTCAACCGATCCGTTCGGAACTCGGCTGAGATTCTGAAGCCCTTTGACATCGATCTCTTGCAACTAATCCTCAGCGACAGTGACGAGTCTTTAATGTCACTTCTGGGGTCGTCTTTGGGCACAGCGGCCGTCCAAATAGCACTGATAGACATTCTGAGAGCACTGGACCTGAAAGCCGACGGATTCATAGGAAACTCTTTGGGAGAACTATTATGCGGTTATATTGACGAAGCGCTGGACGTCCGGGAAGTGTTGTTATTCACGTACTGGAGGGCCAAATGCATAGAACAGGCAAAACTGCCCCGGGGTCTGATGGCTGCCGTCGGGTTGTCCTGGGATGAGGCCACTCGCAGATGTCCAGCGGGTGTAGTGCCCGCCTGTCATAACGCTCCCGATTCGGTGACCATTTCAGGTGTATATGAAGTTGTGGACAGTTTTCTGTCGGAACTAAAGAAAGAGAATGTGATGACAAAAAGGGTGAACAGCAATGACATCGCTCTCCACAGCTCGCAAATGAAGACAATAGCACCGGATTTGCTGAAGAAGTTAAAGTCTGTGAGCACTTCTCGGCGTCTAAGAAGTCATAAATGGATCAGTACTTCAGTGCCGGCCAGCAATTGGTCGACACCCGAGAGTCAGTACTCAAGCGCCGAGTATTACGTCAATAACCTGACGGCGCCGGTACTGTTGCAGGAGGCGCTCCAATATATTCCCAGCAATGCTGTTGTAGTCGAAGTGTCTCCGCATTCACTGCTGAAGAATGTGGTCAAACACAGTGTGACCGGTAGTTATGTCGGTCTTATGAAACGCAAGAACGCCGACAGTTTACACCATTTACTCACCTCTTTGGGCCAACTCTTCACTTTAGGTCAAAACCCCAGAATCGAGAACTTGTATCCAAAGATCTCTTATCCTGTCAAAAGAGGGACACAATCGGTAGGC